CTTTCCCTTGTTTTTTTCAAATCCCCTATTTACATACTCCAACCAAAAGAAAGTTGTAAAATAAAAAAAATACAGTATTAAAAAGAAAATAAATAAGAAAAACAAAAGAAAAAAGTAGGGTGCTTGTGAAGCTTACCCTTCAATCATCGCTCTAACATAAAAACACCATCACACAAAGCTACCAAAAAAATCACCTAATAAATTAAAAAAAAAATCACCTAAAATTTTTAAATTTATAACCGGTGTCCAGCCCCTCCTCTGCTCGGACCAGCATGCGCTTTTGCCATAAAATCTCCAAATCTCCCCTCCGATGATCTCAACGGCCTCGATCCCTCAACGGAGCTCGAGAAGAAAGACAACAAAATAAATAAGCAAACAATATTAACAACAGAGACCAAAAACCTCTTGTTAGAGTTCATTTTGCTAAGGAAATAATGAGCCAAGTTTGTATCATGCAGTTTGAGCTCAGTTGGGTTTATATAGGAGATCTCAAAGAGTATGTAAGCGTGATGTGCAAGGTTTGAATATGGGGAGTTGACAAATAAGCGAGGGTTTGGTAGTTTCTTGTTAGCCCCCCTACAAAAAAAGTCACTAAAAGTTCCCAATGACTTTCTAATTTTATTGTACACTTGGCATCCTTGGTATCTATTTTCTCTCTTTAAACATTAATTTCGTCGGCAATAACTACTTACTTTAAAGTTGGTTCTAGGTCTGACTCGTGCAAAATATAATTGCCTACCAAAAACGCTAACCACAAATATTCTTTCCTACCTCCTCAAGACTTGTACGCAAACTCTTGTACCACCCAAGTCAAATAGGTAAAGACTAATAAGTAAATATGGTTAACTTAAATTTATGATATATATAGAATAAATAAACTATTTCGGTTTATTCATTTCAATTATCAAGTTCTTGATCAGCTACGTCATCTAGGTTTAATCAAGTGAAATGGCTATATGCTTGGTTTAACCAAGTGAAAATGCCATATTCTTGCATTTCAGTATATTGAAATAATTGAGGTTATTTTAATTTCATAAAATAGTGAACAAAATACAATTTTTCATTAATGTAACCAAAAAAAAAAGAAATCTTATTATTCTACATTCTATGGATGTAACATGACCTCTTCATTTTGCACACTTTTGTACTTTCCCTTCATCCAACAAAACTAGCTAGTCTTGAAATAATTTATATTTTGAAAGTTATTAATTATGAATTTCATTTGGTAACACCCAAAATTCTTTTCCATGGCATACGGGAATTTTTATCAAATACTCTAAAGGCTATACATGTATTGTGATTGTTTATACCATAAAAAAATACAAGAAAAAAATACAAGAGACTTACCGGAATTTTTTTTTTTTTTTTTTGGGGGGGATATTCAGATGAAAAGAGATGATTTGAGATATGCGGACCTACCGGAATTTTTTTTTTTTTTTTTGGGGGGGATATTCAGATGAAAAGAGATGATTTGAGATATGCGGACCAAGTACCGACCCGTGACTTGGAAAGGATAGAATTCTTTGCGAGCACTCAATAGGTTAGACTTTGAGCATTAACTTAGTCGGTGAGATAAGTAATCTTACTTTTGTACCTTAATGAGATACAAGGGATAAGAATAAAGAAGGAAAAAGAAATGGAGGTAGTTGATAAGAAATTAATTTCCTTAAACGTAATCATACTACTTATATTGAAGCTTATGTTCATTAGGAGAAAGTTCAAAAGTTCCCTCTTGCAAGGAGGAACGAGATCTATCTAAATATCTTAACTTCAACTTTCCAACTAACGATTTAAGATTCGGTTGGTATCTAGTTACTTTTTACCAACTAACAATCTACATCCATACTTTTGTGGTGAATTGTGGCTGTCTTCAGTGTGAAATAAATTCGACGCGTATAGCTTTAATTATAACTTTGCTTTCAAATCTGAAACTATCTTGAATTTACTAAAATGTATTTTTTTTTATTAGGAAAGAAATATCATAAACTTTCAAGCCAGAAGGAAACTAGCATTTAATATTGAAATACTTACCCTAGCAACGTTACTTGATATGGTTACAAATCTAAAATTTGTATAACATGTTAATTTACGCTAACGATGGCTAAAATGGGGGAAAGAAAATACAAGCTCTCACTACAAGGTTGAAGTTTTATCTAATATCAAATCAATAATATTATAATTTTATTGAATCTTCAGAACAAATGAAGGCTGGCTAGGACAAAACTATGAGATATCTTATTGCCACATACTTTACAAAATAATCTTCACATAGCAATGAACTATATGTCAATGCATGTCAACAGATTAAAAGATTTCATGTGACGCATGAGTAAGTTCATAACAATATCATTCATCTATGTGTAGGGATAAAAAAAAGTTAAATCATTTACTAAAGTTTCACCAAATCCACAAGCATGACTCTAGTTAGATATTTGCCGCGTACATTAGATCCGTTGTCTCCCGAAAGCAAAAGTGGCCAATAATACTAGAAAATTCCTGCTTCGGATAAATTATAAATTTATCATAATTATTATTTAACATACCATCTAAGAGAAGCCTTTTCTTTTTTTGGGTGTTCTACCCCTATATAAGTAACCTTTTAAAAAAAATTAAATATATCCCAAACTCATACACACAATTTCCAATAATTTATAACTTAGTAAAGGACAAATTTGAAAAAAGACAAACAATAATCTTCTTCATATAACAACTGTTACCATCTCATAACTAACACGCCATTCACTACTTCATAACTATCCTATTTTTGAAATATCATACGCTTATATTATTTATATTATTTGTGGAACTATTTTTTTATACACATATTAGTATTAATCATTAAGTCACTAAACAATTTATTTATTACGCACAAGGGCTTATCATATCATAGTGATTAGGACCCGTTTGGTTGCCCGTTTTTTAGGGGGAAAGTGGCTGAAAGCTGTCACAGATGTCCCATCTATGTCAGCTTTCAGTCAAAATCGTCTCTAAAAGCTTTCCCCTTCAAAGTAAACCAACCAAACGGGTCTTTATTGAAGTTTGAGAATCTTTTTCTTACCCCATTGAAGTCACGTTACTTATAAAAGGAATAACCAAATCTGTAGCAATTCGGAATAATATTTGTTCGGGGAATGAGAATTGTTCATTATATTCCTTACTCGTAATTAAGCCCAAAACCAAGAACTTTTTGTGGGCTTTTCCCAAATAGACGGTGGGAACAAAATCAGAGCAACGCGGTAAAGTTGTGCACGCTACACTCAGCGTTCGTCCACGACTTCCATTTCTTAGTATAAAAAGTACCGCTAAATTTATTTGACTGGTGACTGGGAGAATGAAGAATTGAGATTTTTAAGATGAACGCAAGTTTCGCTGACTTCCGATTTGGTTGACCGCTTAGTTGGAAGGAGGCCCTAGCTGTAGCCGCGCTTCGGTCCCCAAAAGTCAAAAGCGAGAAGAATTAGCAGTTACTTATCAACTTGTTTAGGGATGAAGATATTAACTAAGTCTTTTAGTTCGATCTTACATGGATACGATCATTATTATTTATTACCAACATCAGTCTAATTCCTAGGAGAAAAATAAAATAAAATAGTATCTAGTTATGATTCAGTCATTTTCAAGCATTTCTAGTTGAAAACTCTAAAAGGTTCGCTGCTAGTTTCTTTCATATGGAGATTAACGTGTAGATCATGAACTTTTCGCTTTCTTATGAGATCTTGTTATGATTCTACAACCCTTTGCAAGTTAGGCTGGGATCCATCCTCTCAAGATGCTGCATGTATTTTTCACGCTTTTCTTTTTCCACCGTGATTTAAACCTAATCTTTTTCACCGTGCACATAAAAACTACCGTTACGCTGCGATGACACTCGCACTAAGAATCCAATTACGTAGTAGCAAATATAAAGAAGATGTTCGGCGTGATGCCACTCCTTGGAGGACCAGGCTGCGGTGATTTTCTTCATCGCGATTCATAAATTCAATCGCAACTGGAAATTACGAAAACATTTCCACTTGCAGACGACGACTTATTTACGACTTATTCAGATTTTTAGACGTAACTATTCAGTTACAACCGTTTGACTAGGAAAAAGGTTTAAAAAATTGCAACTTCGGTTGTAACAGATGTCCGAACTCGATACCCCCAACTACGACTGCATGTTGCTATAACCGTACGACTAAAATTGTAAAATTGCATGCAACCGGCACTTACATTACATTGCCATTACGAGCAAACAGACCCAAAATGTGTATTCTAATGTGCAAATGTGTGTACCCTGTGAACCGTATACACATGTAAACGAACCAGAAATATTATATGATACCAAGTACACCGAACGCAAATCACAGAAATATGCATCTGCCAAAGAATTATTACACAATAGCAGGTTCAAGGCGAAGAGTAGCCTTATCATAATCCAAAATTGTGCTTAAAGACATCAGATGCTTCCCCAAAAATAATCAAGAAAATAGAAAAAGCGAGAAAATTTTGAGATGAAGGTCCATCTCATGTGCAATGTACACCATCAGGACTCATTATTCCATACTTTCAACATAACTAAAGTAAAAAAAAGAAAAAAAAGTTTTCAAATCCACTACAATTGAGATCAGTTAACAGCATCAACTATCAGCTTCCGCGATTTAAGAACAGACCACTTCATGCGACGGTAATAAGCAGCTTGAAGGAGAGCAAGTGAGAGTACGAAAATCCATTTGAATCCCATCTGAAACATTTCAGTAGTAGGTAAGATACCGAACTTAATTCTTATGATTAATTGCAGAAATTTTCACTTACCAGAATCCCATCTGAAACATTTCAGTAGTAGGTAAGATACCGAACTTAATTCTTATGATTAATTGCAGTAATTTTCACTTACCAGTTTGCGCTCTTCCATCTCTGGCTCTGCTGCCCACGACAAAAATGAAACAACATCCTTACCCATCTGCATTAACAATGGCATAAAAATCAAACATGGAACACTTTGCTAACACAATCAAATACAGTTCATAATATGGGACTATTTCAAGTTGGCCTCTTTGTGCTTAGCATTCCCTCGAGGAAGCAAAATTGCTTAAGCTTTCTAGTCAAATTTTTTTTAATTAACTTAACTAGGAAGCTTAAGCAATTTTTGCTTCCTTGCGTGAATTTTTGCTCCCTAGTTAAGTTGAATCTTGGCAGTAGCAACTCTCCGGAAGCATGAGCTCGACCAACAGAAAAACAGGTTACTGACTCATAATTCTAGAGGGCCAATTGGCCTTATAGACCTTTATGTGAAGCCTTTGTAATAGCCTTAGCCGAGAACTTGGTAATGAGCCATACAAGGCTGACATGAGATTAGCAATCGTTCCCAGAAATGGTTCTTACTCAAAGTTAATATCAAAATGGCCAATTTCATTCAGGTCACTACTGTTGATAAATTAAAATCATCATGGGCATCGGACATGCTAAATTACAGCTTTTGGAAAGGAGTACCTGAGCTTCAGTTGCAGGAGTGCCATCTTCATACTCAAGAGCACCATCAATAAGCATTTTGGGCATTGCTATGGCACCACCAGGAAAGTACGGATTGTAGTGCAGACCCTCTCGAATCTACATGTTGCCAATCAAAAAAATCAGTATAGTTCCCATTAGAACTAATTCATGCAATAAAGCAGAATATATAAACTAAAATTGAAACCGGGATAGTGGAAACTGAAATTAAAACCATAAGAAATGCTAAAACAAATCAGAATAAAAACCAAGTTCTCAAACCTTGTCCTCCACAAAGTTTGTCCACTATGCACTTGTTCGTGCAGCATAACCTGAACCTGAATTTATAGCTTACAACAATACTCAGGGAACCTCAGGAGGAACAGAAATATATACTGAAATATTGTTCTACTCTCTGAGGCCAGGTTTCTTCAATTATACATTTCTTATATACAATTAGCTTGGCCTCTATTCCAGCAAAGCATTACGCTAAGGTTACAAAATGGACACTTAAAAGGACGAGACAAAAGGAGATATGGAGGTTTCATGTTTATATCCATGGACAAACAAATGTTCAACCCTCATTCATTTTACATCAACTAGAGTGATCATGCAAAGGAATGAAAAGAGAGGTCATGGAAGCTTGCTAGCTTGATTGAGGCAGATGAGAAAGATGATTTAGCTACTAGCACAAGATCACACGGGGCATCTAGTTAGGAAGACAGAGTTTAAGCAGTTTATATCAGGCTCTACTCCATGCAAAACTAATCAGGTATCAGAGAGGTCAAGCAGATTTTAAGCAGTTAAAGATTTATATCAGGCTCTACTCCATGCATAACTAATCAGGTACCAGAGACAGGAGAGTTGGAAATGTTGTTTAGTTACGCAACATGAATCAGAGGAAGAGAGATAATGTAGATCACAGAGATTGTGGTGATATATGGAGAACTTGCAAAGGAATTCTACTCCCAGTCAGTGAAGCAATAACAACC